AACCATTTTCTTTCTTAAAATCTTTTTGGTAAATGTTTGAACCTCAAAAACTGGGCAAAACAAAAATTATCATACTTGGTCCGTCCCTGAGTGTTTGTCCACTTTTGACTTTTGGAACTGTTCATCTAAGCACTTTGACTCATCAAATTCTCTCAATGTGTAAGCCTAAAAATAGTCATGTGTGATCTTGTTTGATTCGTCTTAACATATAGATTATTAATATATAATTTTTATAATTTTTTAATATACAAATTACAAGATAAAATGGATTAAAGAAGTGCATTGGATGGTGTGCAAAAATGAAAGTGGACAAACACTCAGAGACGGAGGGAGTACTAAATAGTCAATACTCAATATCATCCATGATTTGGAATTGGGGTGGGTACTGGACTTTGGACTTTGGAAGGGTATAAGAAAGTTGGTACTGGACTATGTATAATTGGCTATGGTAACTTAAGTAAAGCCCATAATCCATATAGTAAAATATAAAATATAAACCCAAATAACCAGTCCACGGGTCGGTCCACCGATCTCACTGGGTTTAGACCAGACCAGACCGGAACCCGAATAAGAAAAAATTATGGACCGAAAATCGGACCGAAAAGAGACCGGTCCAGTTTGGATCGGTCCGGTTTTTGTCGGTCTTCGGGTCAGTCTGGGTTTGGACCGGATAATGCACAGCCCTAGTCTTTAATTTATTATGACAGAAAGTCAAATTTGCCTTAAACTTGGGTTCAAACAAAGTCCATTTGCAAAATGGATTAATTTTAATCATAATATGACATTGGATTCTAAGGTCAAAAAAACTACACCATCACCACAATTCTTTTAGCATTGAGTTTCATTGTCATATTTTGAATCAAACACTTAGAGTGCTTCATTGGATCCCAAATAGACCAATATCATAATATGACATTTGGAGACAATGTCAAAAGATCCATGCAAGAAATCAATATACATAAGTGGGTAAAAAAAGCCAAAGTTCTTGGTCAGAAATGCTTATACAATCTTAAAAGACATTCTTCTCTTAATAATAACTCTCTAATCCGAATTACAGAATATAGTAATAACAATTTAGTCATTTCAACAACAAAAACACACCATTAACAAACACACAACAACAACAACCCAGTTAAATCCCACAAGAGTAGGATCTGGGAAGGGTGTGTGTACGCAGACCTTACCCCTACTCGAAAATAGAGAGGCTGTTTCCAAAGAGACCCCCGGCTCAACGTCGAAAGTTGCATTGCTTGACTAACTGCTACTTCATTAATTAAAGAAGCGCATACAGTTTAGAAATCCAACAACAACAACAATAACCCAGTTAAATCCTACAAGAGTAGGGTCTGGGGAGGATGTGTGTACGCAGACCTTACCCCTACTCGAAAGTAGAGAGGCACAGTTTAGAAATCCATTTTGATTTATTCCATCACACCCCAAAGCTAAAAAATGGTGAAATTTATTCCGTCACACACCATTAACAAAGTTAATCTGAATTGGAAGCCAAAGCCTTAATCTGTACACTTCAACAACAAACCCAGTGCACTTTTCAAGTCACAAAGAATGGCACTATAATAGCAACTTAATCCCCGTCATTGATCTTTCTCCCTCTTTTGTACATACCATACCAAACTCCTCCCTCCATTCCTAAACAACTATCTATTATGAACTTTTCGATACATTAAGAATCAAATGAATGTAGACATAATGTTTGTCCACATTCAAAGCATATGGCAGACCATACCTCTGCCATCCTCTTCTGAACACCCAGAGAACTGTATATACTGTTTGTACATCACAGACGTTGAACAATGGTGAAGAGAAATAGAATACAACAACAAAACAGATGCTGTGATAACATCTTTCAGGGGCGCCAAGAGGTTTTTCGTGCACAAAGGATACCCTCCTTATTTTGAGCAAAAGTCATTCGAATCTCCCAATTCAAGCTCCTCAATATCCCCTCAAGTGAATCGAGTATCTCTACTTTGTCGCGTACAATGGCCCAACCGCCAGGCCTTAATATACGGTCCATCTCAGCTACAATAACTACAGGTTGTTTACATCTGCACGCGAAAGACACATTTTAATAATATTAAAAAAGGAGCGAACAAGACTTCGTGTAGGATGGTAACACAATGTTTTTTTATGTTTCGAAGTGTTGTTTTAGAAAAAAAGTTGTTTTACAGATTTGTTGCGAAATTAACGTTGTTGTAGAAAACTACTCCCTCCATCCCGGAAATATGTTCTTGATACAGTTCACTATGTTTCACAGAAAGTACTTTCACTTGAATTTATTTGAAAAGTGGTATAAATTTTAATTATAT